GCTGTTGGGGGTCCAGCGGAGTGACGCCTTACCCAGATTTCAATGAAACCTCGCCATCCGTGGGGGCTGCGATTTGCGAAACTGTAGCCAGTTTCGAGGGCTGCTGGGGTGTCCAGCGCAGTGACGTCCTACTCAAATGTAGATGGAACCTCGCCATCCCATGGGGGAAGCGATCTGCGAAACCGTCGCCACTTTCGAGGGCTGCTAGGGGGTCCCGCGGAGTGGCGCCTTACCCAGATTCAGATCAAACCTCGCCATCCCTGGGGGTGCAAACCTCGCCATCCCTTGGGAATGCGATCTGCGAAACCGTCACCACCTTCGAGGGCTGCTGGGGGGTCCCGCGGAGTGACGCCTTACCCAGATTCAGATCAGACCTCGCCATCCCTGGGGGCTGCGATTTGCGAATCGGTCGCCCTTTTTCGAAGGCTCTTGAGGGGGTCCAGCGGGGTCACGTCTAACGCGGACCACCAGGAGACCTCGCCATCCCTTGCGGGGCTGCGACGCTTGCGGGCGAGCTAGGCTTCGCTCGCTTCTTGCACCATTTCCAAGCAAGTTTTTTTGTTTTTCCTCGAACGCCGCGGCGACATTGCGCAAGCAACGCTGCATCTTTAGAATACTACCGGCGCGAGCAACATGTTCTGGTCTCCCCCCGTCACTTTCGTCGTCCTCTACCCCCTGCCACCTTTCTTCTGCTGGTGACGCGCTGACGGTTCGGCCCCCCGCGCGTCCTTTTTCTGCCCTTCGTTTCCGCCCCCTTGACTTCCTCAAGCCTGGGCCCTCGTTCCTCGTCCTTTTGTTGTCCTGTGAATCGTGCCGCGTGAGCGCGTCCTATGTAGCTTGCACAACCCATATCAGCGCCTGCATTGCCGTTGTCCTGGCAAGTATGGCCCAACGCCTCTTGTCACTTGATGCAAATGGGTTGTGGTATGGCTGTATGCTCCCATGTTTGTTTTATTTTTGTTGCGATTACTGTTAGCATCGCCATCATCATCACCACCATAATAGCCACCGTCCTAAACACCACACTCATCACCACCGTCACCATCACTATCATCATCACCATCATCGGCATATTAACATCGTCATCGGTGTCATCGCCACACGCATCACCATCACCAGCGTCATCATCAGCAGCATCAGCATCATCATCATCATCATCAGTGTCAGTATCACCATCATCACCATCATGACCACCATCAGCATCACCATCCTCATCATCACCCGCATGATCATCGTCCCCATCATAAGGATATGGGGAAGGGACGAGTGGGCGGTGGAGGAGGAGGAGGACAACGATGACAGAGTAGGCGTTTGCAAATGGACATCGAGGGAGGAGGAAGCGGGGGATGTGGAGGGGGAGGACGAGGTAGGAGGAAGCGAGAGAGCAGAAGGAAGAGGGGGAAAGATGATATAGGAATGGGACGGATGGGGAAATTGGGGAGGCTTGAAGAGGCGGATGACAAAATGGGAATGAGAGGTGGAGGAGAAGGGGTAAAAAGAGGAGGAGGAGGAATGAGGGGGAGATAGACGGATGCGGATGAATAATGAGGATGAGTATGGTGATGATGGTAATGGTGATGGTGATGGTGATGGTGATGATGATGATGATGATGATGATGATGATGATGATGATGATGATGATGATGATGACGGTGTTGATGATGACGATGACGATGCTGATGATGATGCTGATGATGATGCTGATGATGATGATGGTGGTGGTTGGGGTGGTGGTTGTGATGACGACGGCGAGGAGGATGATGCTGATGATCATGGTGGTGATGATGATGGCGACGAGACTGATGCTGATGGTGATTATGATGATGATAGCGATGCTGATGATGCTCATGGTGATGCTGATGTTGATGATGGTGGTGCTGATGTTGATGATGCTGATGATGAAGATGAGGGCGATGATGATGCTAACGACGACGACGGCGACGACGATGATGATGCTGCTGCTGATGATGTCATGGTGCTGATGCTGCTTAGGATTCTGATGCCGGTGATGATGATGATACTTGTGGTGGTGGTGTGATGGTGGTGATAGAGAGATGATCATAATGTAGAATGAGTAATAGATGATGGTGATGCTGATGATGCTGATGATGATGTTGTTGATGATGACGACGACGCTGACGACGACGGTGATACTATGATGCTGATGATGGTGATGCTGCTGATGATGATTATGGTGATGATGATAATGATGATGGTGGTGGTAATGGTGATAATGATGATGCTGCTGATATTGATGGTGATGATGCTGATGACGATGATGACGATTATGATGATGATAATGATGATTTCGATTTCTATGATGGTAATACTGATGATGATGATGATGATGATGATGACGACGACGACGATGATGATGATGATGATGATGATGATGATGATGATGATATGATGATGACCCTGATGATGATGATCATCATGATGACGCTGATGCCGGTGGTGGTGATGATGATGTTGATGATGATGTTGCGGATGATGATGATGACGATTCTGATGTTGCTGATGATGCTGATGATGCTGATGACCATGATCGTGATGAAATAATGAATCGCAATGGTAATATTAATAGCGACGAGCAAGCTGCTGATGGTGATGATGATGCTGATGCGAATGCTGCTGATGATGATGATGATGGTGGTGATGGTGATGATGATGATGATGATAATGATGATGATGATGATGATGATGATGCTGATGATGATGATGAACATCATCATGATGCTGATGATGATAATGATGATGATGAGGATGAGGATGAGGATGAGGATGAGGATGAGGATTTTGATGATGAGCAGTAGTGCGAAGAGCAGGAGGAGGAGGAGGAGGAGGAGGAGGAGGAGGAGGGAGGAGGGTGAGGAAGACTGGGGGGAAGGACAAGGGGGAGGACGGACTGTGAGGAGGGGGAGGAGGAGGAAGGAGGACGATTGGGAAGGAACTGGAGCAAGGAGGAAGCACGAGGAGGACGAGGAGGAGAAAGGAGGAAGGAAAACGAGGAAGAAGGAAGGGGGAGGGAGGGACATGGGATTGTGGAGTCTCCCAGCCACGTCGGCCGTCTGCCGCAGGGGGCCCGCTGGAAGATTGTGCTCTTGCGGGCGCCGCTCGCGCGGGCGCCGCCCTGCCGCCGTCGTTCCGACGCCTCCGTCGCGGTCTTGGTCGGCCGCCGCCGTCGCCGGCTGTTGCCGGCAGTCGCCGTTGTCGTCGTCGTGATCGTCGTGATCGTCATCGTGATGGTCGTGGTTCTTGTCGTCGACGTCGTGTTCGTCGTCGTGATGGTCGTCGTTGTCGTGGGCGCGTCGTGGCCGTGCTCGTCGTCGTGCTGTCGTGCTCGTCTTCGTCGTCGTCGTTGTGTTCGTCGTCGTGGTCGTCGTTGTGGTCGTCGTCGTGGTCGTCGCCGTCGCCGCCGACGTGGTGGTGGTTGTCGTGGTGGTGGTGGTGGTCGCGTCTTTCGATTGGGGAGTCACGTTCAGCGTGTGCTTAAAGAGGGCTGGCCACACACCCGTATATGGTGATCGTTTTTTAATTCATTGTTTTGCCGTTCCGCGCGGGCCCTCGCACCCCCCCCTGCCCCCCCATGGAGTAGATCTTGGCTTTTTTTTGGCGCCTGTTTCACGCAGGTGAAGGCTCCCCCATAGGGACGCACTGCTGCAAACTGTCGCACTAAGCAGAGGTCCAGAGCCCCCCCCCCCCCTCTCCCGCCCTTGAACTCAATGTCGAAACGCCGAATACAAAAACGCACGCCTTGACCAATTACCCTAGCGTATCAAAATGCGACGTCCCTTCTCCTTGTGGCGAGCGCCCGTCCCGCCCTTATGTCCCAGTGTCGACTCCGCCCGTGCCCCTGCCGTCCAGCCCCGTGCTTGCCTCGCTCCCTGCCTTCATGTGGGCGGAACACAATTTTCGTATCCGCGGCCTTGCGGCCTGGAGCCCCTGGGCCGCGACCCCTTGGGGGCCTCTCTGGGTGCCTTTTGGAGGTCTTTTGGGGCGCTCTTGGGGCCATTTTGAAGGCGGTCGGTCAAAAGAGTGTGGGTACTAGATTTGCGCCCCCCCCCTCGGGGGCCACGATCCTCGTGAGGGGTGGCAAAACATGGTCCTCTCAATGGCAGAAAAGGGTGCCTCCGACACATCGCGACTCCCTCGCCAAAAACCTCGCCCCGCGGCTATGGGGCTCCTTCTCGCGGATGCCCCGCACTGAGCGTGTCCTCGCGACTGCGCATGCGCGGGATCGCGCCCCGGAGTCCAGGACCACCTTTGGGCTCCTGGGGCCGCTCCCCAGGTCGAGGCTTTGGGGAGAGCCCGTTCGTGGCCGAGGCTCGCCGCGGCCAGAAAAAAAGCCCCCTGTGGTGGCAGGGTGACTGCGCGGTGGGTTCCCGCCGCGTTGGCGCGGCGGCGCAAAATGGCACCAAAACGGCCCACGACGCTCCCAAGAGGGCCTCCATACGGCCCACTAAGGCCCCAATATTGCCGCAAAAGGCCTCCAAGACGGTCCCCAAGGCCTCCCGAGAGCCCCCCAAGACGGCCCAAGAGGCCCCAAAGAAGGCCCAAAGAGGGCCTCAGAAGCGCCCAGCATTGGCGTTCAAGGTGGAGTGCCGCTGGTGCGCTGTCGGGAGGCGGAGATCGTCCAAGGTGGTGCGATCCACGGGGTGTCGGAGACCAACGTCGACGTCCTCGCGACGTGAGCCCGTCGTGCAGTCGGGCCGCGGAGGAAGGATTTCACTGGGGAGGGGCTCAGTGTTCCTGATTTGTTGTTGTGCCGTTTGTCTGCGGTTATGCTCATGGAAAAAGGGTGCCCGTTCCTAACAGTGGGGGCGCGCATCAAGAAACCATATGATTTTCGTCAGGGCATCCTGGGTTTCTTCGCTCCGCGAGCTGCGCAGTGACTTCCCGCGGCCGTTGAAGAAGCTGCTGCGTTCAGGGTGCTCGGGGTTTCCCCTCAGGTGCACCTCGCGCACGGGTTTTCAGGGTTGGGTTTCTTGCGAGGGCTTCTTGCGGCCGCGCCCGCTCTCTACTTGGGGACCCTTACGACAGCGTGTCGACTGCATGTTCGCCGCTCGCCGCTCCTGCCGCCCAGCCCTGCCGCCGCCCAGCCCTGCCGCCCCCCTCCCCGCCCCGAGATCAGGTGGCGGCCAGCGGCGCTCGTCGGCAGGCCCCGGCGCCCCCTCGGCCTGAGCAGGGAGGAGGAGGAGCAGGAGGAGGAGGAGGAGAACTAGTTTCAGGAAGGGTCCGGTCATGTTTGGTTCGGTCAGGTTCCGAAGTGCGTCCGGTTTGGTTCGGTTCGGTTCGGTGTCGAAATCCTCCGGTTCGGTTCGGTTGGTTCGTTCTGAGGGGTGCCGTCCGGTTCGGCCAGGTTCGCCATGCGTTTCGCTCCGGTTCCGCCCGGTTCGCCACGGAGAAGGAGGAGCAGGACAAGTTCAAGGACAAGACAAGGAGAGGAAAATCAGGCCCCCGGGGGTCCTCTGAGGCAAAATCGCCTCTGGGACCTGCAAAAACGCTTCTGGGACTTGCAAAAACGCCTCCGGGATTTGCAAAAAATGTCCTCCGGGGCTTGCAAAATGGCCTCCGGGACTTGCAAAATGGCTCATGGGACGTGCAAAGACGCTTCTGGGACTTGCAAAACGATTCGGGACTTGCAAAGTGGCTTCAGGGTCTTGCAAAATGGCCTCGGCCTCCGGGACTTCGAAATTGCCCCCGGGACTTGCAAAATGGCCTACGCGTCCGCGACTTGCAAAAGCGCGCCCATTTGTAAAATAGCCTCTGGGGAAAACAAAAACGCGTCCGGGACTTGCAAAATCGCCTCTGGGACTTGCCAAAGCGCGCCTGGGACTTGCAAAATGGCTTCCGGGACTTGCAAAATGACCACCAGGACTTGCAAAATTGCAGAAACGCGTTTGGCACATTCAAAAACGCGTCAGGGACTTGCAAAATGGCCCCCGGGACTTGCAGAAACGCGTCGGGGACTTGCAACATGCTTAGAGACCCGCCCCCAACTATCTCAGTATAGATATCGAATATAAGTAGTATAGTTAAGCAACAGTTGTAGGATAGCCATATGATATGACTATTCTAAACTATCATATGACTATCCTATATTAACATGTTGCAAACTATTCGATAACTTTTGTATAATTATCCTGCTGGGAATCAGAAAAAATGATGTGTTGCGTTGCATTCGCAATATTATTCTTGTTTGTTGTGTCCAGATCATGTTTGTTTCCCGTTTATGATTGAGTTTCCCCAGCTTGTTTTGTTTTGGGTTTCTGTTCAATTCGATTTGTTATCAAGTATATTTCTGTTGCGCTCCAGTTCAATCTTCTGCGCCGAAATGGCACGGCAGCGCAACACCCATTCGGATCATCCGTGGATACCCGTATCGGCCCAAGAATCGTGGACGGAGAGCGCCGGTCTGAGCGCGGCAGCGCCCTTGCGGACCCTCTCATGCATAAGGCCCTGCGCTACCGTTCGCTTTAGGCTAATGGGGGCACGAGCCGCGTGAGGGCTGCGCACTGGGGGCTGGCCAGACGTTTGTTACACGATTTGAAAACATGCTTTGCCTACAAACACTGCCGCGGGCGCCTTTAAGGGAAACGGGATGGCTGATGATGATGACGACGTCGGCGACAACGACGACGACGATGACGACGATGACGATGACGACGACGATTATGATGATGGTAATGATGATGATGATGATGATGATGATGATGATGATTACGATGATGATGATGATGACGACGCTGATGATGATGTTGATGATGGTGATGGTGATGATGATGACGACGATGGTGCTGCTGCCGCGGTGGCTGCTACTGCTGATGACGCAGCCGCTGATGATGATTATGATGTTGATGTTGAAGTTGCCGCTGATGCTGATGCTTATGATGATGACGATGATGGTGATGGCGATGTCGATGCTGATGTTTTTGTTGTTGGTGGTGATGAGGAGGAGGCGGGGGAGGAAGCGGAGGAAGAGGATGAGGATGAGGAGGCGGAGGAGGAGGAGGATGAGGAGGAAGGACGGGAGAGGAGGAGGAAGAGGATGATGATGATGATGATGAGGAGGAGGATAAGAAGAGGATGAGGACGGGGAAGGGGATGGGGGAGGGGGGAAACGTGGAGGATGGGCGGGAGGAGGAGGAGGGGGGGGAATGGGGGAGGAGGAGGAGGAGGAGGAGGAGGGATGGGGTAATCAGTTGGGAGGGAGGAAGTGTAAGGGGGGGGAGAGGGAAGGAGCGGCGCAAGTGATGCGGCCTATCCGTTTCTCCTTTCTTTGCCGTTGTTCTTCCGAACGCGTCACCCACCCGCTCTTCAGCCCAGCCTTCGCGGAGGGCATCGCGCGCCCATATGGTTCGATTGCGGCCCCGCCAGGTTCCCGTCCTCCCCCCTCCCCTCTTCATCATCCTCCGCCTCCTCCCTCCTTCTCCCCCGCAAGTGGAGGCCATGAGTGAGTGCGCAGCTAGGGTGTGCACGACAGCAAACAGCATTCTTGGCCTTGTGCAGGAGCCCCGAAAACTGGAGCTGTCGCCCTCCAGGGCACAGGGTAGCAAAAACCAAGATAGTTTCCCGATCTCCCTCCTCTTCCTCCCCTCCTCTTCTTTCGCTTTGTCCTCCTCTTTCTCCTCATGCTCCTCCTGCTTCTACTCCTGCTCCTTTCTCCCCGTCCTCCTCCTCCTCCCCGCCCCTCTTTTCCTCCTCGTACCTTATCCGTCCTGAGTATCCCTCTTCCTTCTCCATCCTGCTTCGATTCGACTCGACTCTCCTCACCCTTTGTCCCAAACTTTCGGGAACAAGTAGGGCTTGGCAGTTTTACAGTGCGCAGAAAACTCAGTAAACATATAGTAGTGCGTTTTGATGGATTTAAGGGGAGGGTGTATGAGACGTGTCGTGAAGATGGGATTAAGACTTGCTCGGGGACGAGGACGCAGGGAGTGTTGCAGCAGGGCGGGGATAGGCACTTTGCGAGGCTCAAATAGTGGCTTCTCCACCACTGCACTCAGTATTTGCTGAAATGGCTTGTTTGTTGTATGCATGTTTGTGCTTTTTGCTTGCATGTGATGTCATGGCGACCTTCGAGTTCAGTGGCTCCGTGGCCGACGTGACGCAAAGATACCGGCAGCACGCCCGGTTGGTGCACCCAGACAAAGGTGGCACGGTGGCAGAGTTCCAAGAGTTGCAAACCTCCTACGAAAATGCACTGCTCATCGCCCGGCGGCGTGAACGTGAAATGCAAGCAGCACAGCAGCAGGAACTCGTGCGAATGCAGGCAGAGTTGAAGCAGCAACTCGAAGCAATGGTGTCTCAACTGCAGGCTGAACTGATTACACCGGGCACCTCGGCTTATGACATGGAGGCTGCTTTTGAGGCCGCCGAGGCTGCCGCCGCAGTCCTCATGGCATCGTCAACGACCCCTTCGGTGGCAGCCCCTGGAGTGGCAGCATCAGGCCCACCTGCGGCAGCATCGGCGTCGTCTTCGGCGGCCCCTGCAGCACCATCGGCATCGGGGCCGGCAGTTCCTGCGGCAGCCGCAGGCCCCCCGAGCGATCTTTCGCAGGAGGACGGGCGGTGGTTCGGGCAGGGTGTCTGCGACGCATCGACCGAGCTGTGCGAGGATGGAGCCCAGGCCGCTTGCTTCGTCTTCGGGTCAGTTGGCTTTCCGCCGCCACAGGATCGGGCCGGACGAAATGGTAGGATGGGGAAAAGGGGTTACGAAATCTGCTGCGCGCGGTTGGTTCCGGCCCCGCCGCTGGGCCCACTCCTCGATGCATGGGTGCCTCCCGGCGCCGCGAGGCGCGGGGAAAACGAGCTACGTGAGCTGGTTTTCTACCCCCACCCTTTGCCATCCTACCCTTTCGTCCGCCCCGACAGGACTTCATGGACAGCCTGTGCGAAGGCATGTCCCATTCCTGGGCATGATTTTGAATGCCTGGAGCCAACTGTAGGCCACTTCGTGTTCTTCGTGTTCCCAGAACACCACTCCCGGGCCACATTTTGAATGCTGAGGCAGGCTGATGCTGACGCTGGGGCAGGCTGAGGCTGAGGCCGAGGCTGAAGGCAGACTGAAACTGAGGCTGAGGCTGAGGCAGGAGCTCGATCTCCCGCTGCGACCGGCGTAGCTCACGGAGAGCGCGGCTGCCCAACAAGACGTCAGAGACACTATGGCCCTGCGCGGTCAAAGCGGCGAGCGGGAGGGGGCCCAGTTGCGCCAGCACCTCAGGCGGACCGACGAACGCAACGACCACGCTTCCAGGAAACATGCCCCGCCACGTCTGCCCGACCCAGCTTTCGCCAAGACCCATCTGGGAGGAGGGGGAGGAGGGAGGTGGTTTTCTGACCCGGGATCCCCCCCCCCCCCCCAGACCCCCCCCGGGGCCCCCCGGACCCCCCCCCCCGGCGGCCTGCTCGGCCGCCCCAGCCCGCTGAGCAGCTCGGGCGACCCCGCGCAAGGCTTCGTCCGAGATCCGAGCCGCCAGGAAGCCGGGCCCTCGGAGTCGAAGTCCGACTCGGGAGCCAGGGGCGGAGCAGACGCGGCGCGCTCGCGCCGCGGGGGAGTCGTCGCGCTTGGGAGCGCTTGGGTGCGGTTGGGAGCGCTTGGGAGCGCCTGGTGGCGCCTGGGAGCGCTTGGCAGTGCCCGGGGGCGCTTGGAAGCGCCTGGGGGGCCCGCTTGACGAGGGGGCGCGTGGTATGGCTTGGTTTTGCCTGGAAGCGAACGCGGGGAAGGTAATTCACGCTCTGATGCCTATCTCTCCACCCGCACTTGTTTTCGAATGCGCCAACGCCGTTGAGTGTTCCGCGTCGTCTCTGCAAAATACGATTGTGCTGTTGGAGCAACGTATCACTTGCTAGACAAATCATGCCATCAGGCTTTCTCATGGCATATACTATGCGACGTATCTACAAACGTTGAAACCATCCAGGGGGGGCAGCGTCTCCCACCAGGCCGAGTGAGAAGGAGCGCTCGCGGCTGCGGCGGCGCTGGCGGCTGCGGCGGGGCTGCAGCTGCGCTCGCGGGCTGCGGCCGCGCAGGGGGCGCGAGCGATCCCGGGCAGGGCATGCCGCCCCGGCCGATGATCGATCGACTGTGATCCGACCCCCAACAAATGCTGAATGCCCCCTAGGCCTTGACCCGAAGGCTCGCGTGCCCAACAATCT